GGGTAGCTGAAAAAGATAGTACATAGTACCACTACTCGCCACTAGATGTCGTTAAGTGTCACAATACACAATAATAATTGAAATGCAAAAAAAGCGTAAGTTTGCTTAGGTCACGCACTTTGCGACTATCCTAGTCTAAAAATACATAACTTCAGAAACTGGCCCTTGGAACAAACTGAAAAAATCATTATGGCCCGAAGGCTTCAAAGTTTGGAGTCCCCTGCTCTAGATTATGGAGTTTGATGAATAAGGTGGTGTGTGATCCGTATTATCTTGCAGCAATTTTTGCGTCCATCCTGGGGTTTCGAGATTTTCGGACTTTGTTATTTCTGGCGTTGTTTTGTGGTTGTCTGGTTGTGGTTGTGGCTGTCTGGAATTGCGGAGATTGCTTCTCGAAAGCTTGGAACAGTGTTCCGAACCAGAAAACTGTACACAGCTCCACAGCTTTTGATGATTTCTAATGCTCAGATCAGACCTTCTTTGGAGTATTGTTCTCATCTATGGAGCTCCGGCCCTAAGCATATCCTGAAGCTGCTGGATTCCATCCAGAAAAGAGGCCATCCGCCTGTTTGGATACGCGGACATCACTTGCAAACTTGATAGTCTGGAACATCGAAAGAAGGTTGGAGATTTGATTCCACCAAGAGCGGTACATATGAGAAATACGCGACGGACTGTGGCTGCTAATCGTTTTGAGGTTCAACTGAGTAAACCTCGAGCTTTACTGTTTAATAACTACGGAGAACTGCCTTTATGTGGAAGAAACTTCTTGAGAACGTTTTTCCAAATGGATTTGACGATGTTGATATGAATTTTGATATCGATGTCGATTCTGATGTCGATATCAATATCGATTTCGAGTTCGATGTCGATTCCGATGTCAATGTCGATATTGATACCGACAAATCGATATCGATATATCGATTTAGTATTGTTCCTATTTTATACATGTAACTGAACTTTCAATTTTTTTTTCAAAAATAAAATAAGAACAACAATAGAAATTAATTGGCGCTCATTGATTTAAATTTTTACAATATCCACTCTCTCACAATATTCATTTTTTTTTCGAAAAGCGAGAGTTTGAAACAGATTTTATTAAAATTGATGCGAGAATTTCAAGTCATCATGGTACAATCATTAGCCTTCAAGGTTTTTAAGTTGAAAGTGAATTGGAATACTTACGTACAACCGACATAACTTTTGTATCAATTCCCGTCAGAAACTGTGGACCATCCGAAGTTACTTCACAGCTGAAGTTTCCTGACACAATGAAATCGATGTCTCTCAATACCACTTGAGTTGAGTTCGAATTATGAACCTGAAAATGAAAAAAATTATCTGTGGTACGACAGCAAAATGATTTCTCAACGTGGAGCCAACCACTGTCGTGAGTGCACTATTCGATCTACATTATTCAATTCAATTTATTCAATTCATTAGTTTCTGTTTTTCTTCAGAACTATTTTTACAATTGTGTTTTGTGCTCTGTGTAAATTTTTTATTGTTGAATAAAGAGAAGGCAGTATCTCATAACCGATTCTACCATAGAAGTATAAAGGGTTATCACTTTTTTTTCGTTTAATAGATATCGAAGAGTGTAGAATCTATTCATGGGCGACCCTTTTTGTGACGTAAGTAATATGTTCGTGCCATGTAAGGTATTTAATAGATTCAGTTCTCTCTAGAGATGGTCATGTGCGAACTAGTGGTTCCATACATACGTGATTATGTAACTTCATAGCCCCTGTAGTTGGTTGACCAAGGTCGGTAGGGGAGAATGCCATGTATTTAATTTTCTTCATGGTTAGGTTTAAGAGATGATAGTCCATCCACTTTTCAACGTATTTGACGCCGTTTTCAGCAGTATAGTAAGCTTGGTCCCAAGTTTTTTCTGTAAAAACTATAATCGTATCATCAGCATAGCAAACAAGACGTCCTTGAGAATCTTGAATCCTAGCTACGTTGTTGATGTACACTAGGAACAGTAATGGACCCAGTACTGTCCCCTGTGGAACACCAACAGTGATATTAGGTGATTCACTTACTGCATCTCCTACTTTAACTTTCTGCGGTCTGTTGGAGAGATAGTTCACCATTAGATCCAGTGCCTGCCCTCTTATACCGTAGTTCTGAAGTTTCACTATAAGTACATTACGTGATATTGTGTGAAAGGCCTTCGCTATGTCTATAAATATTGTCAGACATTTGGAAGATCTGTCCATGTCGGTAATAATTTTATGAAGAAGGTCATTCATAGCAATTTCGGTATTGAAATTTTCAATGAATCCAAATTGTCTATTGTTAATGATGTTATTTTTCTCAAAAAATGAGATGAGTTTTTTTTTGAGAGATTGTTCTAATAGTTATGCAAAATTATTAATTTGAGATATTGGTCTGTAACTATGTAGTAAACTAGGGTTACCTGATTTGAAAATAGGTGTAACTATAGACTCTTTCCATTGCTGTGGAATATTACCTGTTGAGTAGCATAAATTCATAATATGTACTGAAGGTTCCAAAATGTGCTCTGTTATGGCTTTTATGGTATCAAAAGATATTTGGTCTGGACCGGGAGTACACTTACCTATTTTCCAGTTGTGAGATTAAGCAAATTATTTCATTCACAGTCACGGGCTCTAGAAACAAAGTGGATTGCACTGCAATATCATTTAAAAATTCCCCAGGTGAAGTACATTTCTGACATTTTTTTACCCACATAGTGAAGAAATTGTTGAAAAAAAGCTGCTTTTGTATTATTTTCTGTGATGATTATGTTATTCTCGTCAGTAAATATATTATTTTATTACTTTCCATATTTTTTATAGTTTCCTTTTACTTCATGTATTTTGTTTATATAAAATTAATTTTTGTTTTTTCTCAGTAGGTCATTGAGTTCATTTCTATAATATTTATGCTCATTTTCCAACTCAAATGAATAGTGTGATTATATTCTTTATTTCAACATATCCTTATGCTCAATGGAGTTAATTAATGTCATCATAGTTATCCATGGTTTCACTTTCTTTTCATTTTTTAATGTATTAGGAGTAATTTCAGTTGCAGAGTTCGTGATTTTTAATTTAATGATGAAGGAATCATAAGCTTGTTGTTTGAATTGAAGGGGTTATATTTTAAGGAGTGATTAATTTTTGGGAAAGAAAGTTTTTGGCTTTCTACTACTCCATCTAATACCAAAAAAGGGATGAGAGAGTCTTCCAAAGAAAGGAAAAAAGTAATCAATTTGAAAATAAGTAACTCTATACATGGATGTGTAGATCATACAAAGAAGTAACTTTCAGACACACACTGAAAGAAAGTCCTCCTGAAATAGCTACTTTCATATAAACATTGAATTACACGAAAAAAAAAATTCTTTCGAAACAAATATTTCTATATGAACACTGAAATATACAGAAGATACTTTTCTCTACTCAGTTTGTATTTCAAACATTTGTTGTGGAATAAGAATAAGATATCATTCACTTGAGTTCTACTTTGAATGAATGGTAATAAATTGCACTCACATGGAACACTGTCACCCTCACTAGTATACACCGATGTTTCGCCTTAAGACACTTGCCTTAAGGTTCTTCAGTACCATCCTTTTTTTTGTATCAGATGGAGTAGTAGAAAGCTTGTTGTGTTTCGTTAATAGCAAGAGTGTCGTCCCAATGTTCCCTTGACAGGTACGAATTTAGTTTTTTATTATTTATTTTTGCAATTACCTGAGAGGTTATATTTTCAGTTTTGTCATGTTCAAGAACTTTGATTTGAACGAAAGGCTTGGGCCACTGTTCTGATCCAGAATACTGTACACATCACAGCAACTTGTGCTGCTTTATAAAGCTCAGATCAGACATCCTTTGAAGGTTGGAGATTTATCTCTCTTCTGTAGATACTTTCACGGAAAGTGTTCAAGTAATTTGACACATTTGTTTCCACCAAGAGCTTTACATATCGGAAATACGCGATGGACTGTAGCTGCACATCGTTATGAGGTTCAACTCAGTACACCACGAACTTCACTGTTTAAGAACTCTTTCTTTTGGAGAAAGGTGTTTATGTGGAATGAACTTCCTGAGAATGTTTTTCCAAATGGATTTAATCTTCAGTGATTCAACAACTGTAAACACGCCAAAACACTACTAACTTTTATGCCTCTCAAACTATACATACTAAGGAGCTGAAATTGGGAACATATGTTCTAGATGATTGCGCCAACATAAATAAATGCTTTTCGACTGTAACTAGCCCGCGACTTTTGAAAATTTACTTTGTTTTTTGAACAATCCATGTATATTTTCAATTCTTTGTGCTTCCATATGAAATCACCACGTACATCCCGTTGCCGGTAAATCCATTTTGGAAGAAGTTATCCCGCGGATATTGAACATACGATGCTGCTAATACGATGAAGAAAGGTTAAGACTCCACCCGAACTGCTTACTTAACTGAAAGTTTAGCAAACTTCAGTGCACTTAATAAAATAACTTCATGCGGAAACCTGAATATGCAAATTTCTGAACTGTCTTTAGCGGCATTCTTCGACAAGAAGATGCAATTTGCACCAAATTGAACGAAATTTTCGAGGGAATTTTCAATTACGTTGTGAGACACTAGAACGGGGTGTTTTCTTATAGTATCAACTCGTTAGAATAACGGATGATATGATGACAATTTGAATATTTTCTCGACAGTCTTTGGTAACGACATACTGTCATTTATGATCGGGTCTGTTTCTTCGGGAAATGAGCTTTCAATATTTAAATTCTGAGCTCAAATTTTCTGTCATGATTTCATAGTATCCGATAAAGCCACTGTTCTGTTGAAAATATATGCAACTATTGCCAACTTAATGAAAGTTGGATCACAAGTATCGTGTAAATGATTTTATATGAAAGGTAAAGTTTTTACTATCTCAATTATTTTAATTTCGGAATCTGTGTGTGCCTGTTTGTTCAAACTATAAAAAAAAACGAAATAGAGGAGAAAATTCACGTTTTCTCTTCCTAACCTCGACAAAACTTTCATCATTCTTTTATGAAAGATCATAACTTGTGATGCACTGTTAAGATCCTTTGATGTATTAATGAATACTATTCAACCTAAGGTTGAGAATGAAGGAAATCTCGACTTTTAGATAATACGAAAACCAAGAAAAATATACAATGTGGTCCACTAAGTGTGCAACAAATGGGAAACTTTTTTATTATTGATTTCTCAGAAACTTTTATCCTTGACAAAAGTTGGTGCATGTTCCAAAACTATACCAAGTGTACCTGAAATGGCTTCATGACAAACACCATACAGGATAGGCCAAAAACTATAAAGTTCGTTCAAGAGTAAAGTACCCTTATTTCAAGAAATATAGAAATATGTTGAAGAGAAAAGTTGCTTAGTTATTTTGCTCAGTTGCTTAGTTATTTTGATTCAATATGTATTTGAAGTAGCCACAATCAAATCAGTTTGGAGTATTTTTTATCACATTGAAGTGCATTTCTAAAATTCACTTGTATTTGTATTTTTGTAGGTGACCGTCAACTTCATGTTTGTTGCAACGATATTTAACAGAACTCTAAAATAAAACAAATACTCTTTTTAACGAGGCAAATGTATGATCACTAATTTCTTGGGTAGACCTTCTAGGATTTTCTACTACTGCTTGAAGTACGTCAAGCTGTTTTTCTTCTGTGCATACAGGTTTCGTACGCTCCGTATTATGTTTATATTCTAGTGAGTTGATCTGTTTGGAATTCTTTAAACTTAAACTTGAATAGCAAATTTGTTTGTCTGGATGCCGCTCGTTGAAAATATTTGCAGCTTCGCGCATTGTTTTATAACCATCATATATAAACATATATTGTAAAATAATAGATAAGGCAAAATTGTAAAATTAATTTAGGTTGGTATACCTGTATGGGTGGTACGCCTGGATGGTTTACCTGTATGGGACACCTATATAGCATAAATAGGGTAAGCTCGCATCAGTTTCTATTTTTAATCTTCCTCTTTGAAGACGATCACTTGGTGATCGAAACGCGTGTCGAGGTGTTAAAAATAACGATTTGATGTTGGGAAAAAACTCCAGTAATATTCATTACTACACCAAAGATTCGAAACAGTGCATCATAAGTACTATATAGCTTGTTGAAGCAATATTTCATCAGACTCACGTGACAGTTAAGTATGGCATTATTTCAAAATTAATTTAGGACTAGTAGATGAGGCAATATGTGAAATTAATTTAATACAATTGAGATGCAGGTTCCTAGCAGAGGTATCTAGGGTATAAATAAGGACAATATTGTAAGTAATTCAGTCTAATCTCTCTCTTGATCACTTGGTCATGAACACGAGTCTAGGTGTTGAAAAAAATAAAGGTTTGGTGTTAGGACTGAATTTCAGTAATATTTTCCAGAGATGATAACCTAAGAATGTATTGATTCAGATTCACCATAATGGGATGAATAGTGATTTACGTTACAAGCCCGGATAATACTGTATTTTGGACGAGTAGACACATTTCTAGGACGAGTCGTAAGCGAGTCCTTTCCTTTGTGGAACAATACGAACATTTCAATTCATATTTGTATTGAATATTGAAATTCGAACAGAAGATGGGTTATGAAAGGAACATTCCAATTATTACCGATATTGATATTCATATGGAAGTTCGAGCAATTACTAATATTGAAGGGATTCAATTCATTTGAAATGATCGGTATATTTGAATATCTCTTGTTATAGACAGAACAAGAAGGTAAAGTTTCAAGTTCGCTTTTATTAATTTCAACTGATGATTTTTGATTGGTGCGTCAATTTGAATTTTATTTGTAAGTGAATTGACGATATACCCATCAGCGACATATATTGACTCCCTGTGTGATTTTAAGGATTGGGTGAATTTGAAAATACTGCGATTCTCAATCCGAGATTATCATAACTGTTTAAAAATCTGTTTGAAATCTGTTTCTCAGTTTATCAGCTGTCGCCCCCATACGAACGACAACTCTCAGAAGATGAGAAACTTGTGCGAGCTAAGGGCTAACGGGGTCTTACTTTTTAACGTGTGATTCCTAACACGGTTGCAGAATCATCTCCGCTTCAACCAGCCTGTGGATACCAACAGGTTGAAACGTACATTTCCTTTTTTTGGAATTCACAAATATACTGTTATGTGGAGTATGAGATGGCTACCTATATAACAGCAGCTTTTCTTGCCCAATTACAAAAAAGTTCTCTCAGTATGTGTTTTGTGATCTGATATTTTCACAGGTAACATGTCTCATTTGTCGTTCATTAGATAAATTGACATGTTTGTTAGTTCCTTTCGTCTAAACGCACCAGCTAACTGAATAATTGTTGCTACATAAGTGATATAGGTTGATACTTTCATGCCCTACAATTGTAACATTTTGTTAAAATGACCTTCAGCACTGAATATATTTATTATCTAGTATCTTTTTGAAGAAGAGATTTTACCACAAACAGTCCCTGAATTTGTGTATACTGATTCATTCAGGTGAATATGTGACAAATATTAGTTCTTTTATGTGATGTTTAATACATACTTATCATTGTATTTTGTGAACCATCTTCACTAAATGAAGTACATTATTATTATTTCTTCAACCTGAGTTTTTGCTGGTCAGGCCCTATTCTCCGAAGCCCCGATACATTTGGAAGGGCGCGCCAGCATTATCAACCAATGACCACTCCCCATACCGTGAGGTGAGTGATCATTGGGTCCGAGAATCATGTGCCCTGAGCAAGCGCAGTGAGCCAAGAATGACTGCCTTCTGCATCTGTCCGGCTAAGATTTCTGCCTTAATGCGGCAAGTCGGTAAGATATTGAGATTGGAGAGTAGAGAGTACATCATTCCATCAAGGACTCCAATAATCAGAACTACCATCTTGACAGAGTAGCCTGGATAGAGTCTGCGGAGTTTGAAGAAGAAAATCTCAATATTTCATACGCTTTTTCCTCCTCCTTCCGGACGATATTTGTTTCGCCAGTAGCTGAAAACTCTGATGGTCGAGAAGGATTACACATCAGGCTCATTTGCTTGTATGAGCCTGAGGGTGAGGAACGAATGGTTCCAATGAATTCGGCACATCTTGTTCCCCACAACGAATTCAATATTTCCCGGATCGTAGGACAACAACGGTACTTCGTCAATGCCGTAAGAGTGCCGTAGGTGGTAATAAAGCACTCTTAAGCCACGTTATGTCGATGCATATAGCCGAGACCGCATATGCTGGACGCATCACGGCAGGCCCTGCACCTTGTGTTAGAAACCTCCATAATAATCACGCAACTGCGATAGACTAAGGTGTTGGAGGTTATGATGGAACCCTCAGTTTCCGACTTCAGCCCACTAGACTTGAGGAAAGCGAACATCAGGCGTTTTGATGAGCGCCTGACGTTCGCTTTTCTTGAAGAAGACCCCATGCATTGGTTTATCCTTGTGTTGCCGCTGAAGTGAGGTGATCTCTGCCCCTTTTATATGAGCCTTTTGCTGAATGGGTTAAAACTCGGTGACAGAGTTGTGATCACCTCGTTCAATGTTGAAGACTAAACCGAGTTCATAAGCTGATCGGGCAGCTGCCGTGAAGAGAAATTCTTCATCTCCTGTGCTTTCATAGTCGCGGACCATACAGAGAAAGAAATCCGAACTCCTGACGACTTCACAGGCTCCATCCAGTACCATTCTGTCATGTAGACACCCCAAACTCAAAAGTCCACGGTCTCCCTGTTGACAGGGGAAGTACAACCGTGGAACGGACGATTTGGAATGCAAACTCCTATAGAGATGCACCATTTTTCGGGTTTTTACGTCGAGTTGATACAGCTCCTCTCGAGTCCAATCAACTTCTCCAAACGAGTAAAGTAAAGATTGGAACAGCAAGCAAATTTTTTGCAACAATTTGTTATTCCACGACAGCTCTGAGGGTAAAATCTGCGGGTATTTGTGCTGAGTTCTTCACTGCTATTACCTCGTGTGAGTGGCGTTGTTCCACCCCAAGGTAAGTATACGGTATCCAGATGGTGTAGGATGCTTCCATCTACGAGCTGCACATCCTCTCCGTAGTCCCCGCATCGTCCTCTTTTGAGATGGACCATTGCACATTTGTCTATCCCGAATTCCATACCGATAGCATGCGTATCCATCACTCTCAGACAGATCCTTCTGTCCAGAGGCTTCAAGTTGAGGATGACCTATATAAAACAAATGAGTGACCTTGTGCCTCCGGGGTGCCACAGTTATACCCCCGAGTATTTCTGAGCGCAACGGATAATGGCAATAGTGAGATGCAGAAGAGAAGGGGATGGAGGGAATCATCCTAATGAATTTGTTGATCTGCTTCCGATTTCTTCACTCTACAATCAATAATTTTTCTTCCAACAAATACCATAACCTTCGGGAAAGCGGCTACTTTCACTTCTTTTTACTTAAATGGTACTTTCCAACATAGAATACATGCTCCACAAGGTGAAGGATGTCACAGATTCTTGTGCCAAATAAGCCAGAAATACATCACCAAAAATAGTTTGCATTTCTTCATATGCATGCATCCATTTTGTGAACAAATCATGAACGTTTTAGTACCTGGGCTTTGATTTTTTATACAATAATTTTGCTGTAGCAACTGCTGCATTGGCTATTTCATTGGGCACATTTTCAAACTCACTATTGCTGCTATTTTCCTTAGTTTATTGAGATAATTGCGAACAAAATCATCGTCCGTCTCACGACCGCAATGTCGTGAGTTTGATCCCAACCTCTACCAGATATTTTTCTTAGAAGAATTTATCTGGTTGAAGCTGGGATGATTCTGTAACGTTACATGGCTGACGGACTATGAATAGCCATTATGCTGCCTCAGGGAGTTATTACCGTTGACTACCCAGAACACGAGGCTAATGGCCTATGTAGTCGGTGCCGATGGCACCCCAAAATAAATAATCATGGCAAATGCATTGAGGGAAATAATCTTTGTTGGATTATACAGTCCACTTTTATAACAACTGAACCACCATTTTCAGCTGTTCAAGTAGATCTGAAACGTTGGAAACTATCATGAACTTGCATTGTGATACTTACATCGACATTGATTCCCCTAACAGGAAAAACCTTCGTTTTCGGCGAATCGCTGGGAGTGTACCGATAGAACTCGTATCGGCCTCTGTACCATTTCACTGAATAAAGCGTGTTGTTTCTCAGATCGTAGGAGCAGCGCAATGTTGAGTGACTCGAGCGTTGTACCACTTTCGGCTCTATTGTCAGGAGGACGTCTCTCAAAGGGAGAACATCTGAAAAGGAAAATGCACTCGTTAACGTGATTGTTGTGTACGCCGTGGAAAACCGGTGACATTTTTCCGCACAAATATTGTTGAATGTAAGTCGAACGCGAGTTGACGAAGAGCGGAATAATAATGGTGGAAAAATACTGAGGGAGATATTAGATGAGGAGACATTGAAATGAAATGAGAATCGTGAGCATTTGCATGAAATTTCGTTTCACGATATTATATTGAAAAATGAAAGACAAAAATTTTTATATTGCAAATATGATCTTCATAATGACAATATCGTTGAGTTATTGGTAGATGAAGAGTCCTGCAACAGGGACTTCCAAAATTTGACAATTGATATCGGCCATCTTGTTAGAGTTACGACATCTGTCAAATTATTTGTCTGTAATTGATGACTTGTTTATTTTGTAGAAATTCATTACTTCAATGAAACGAATAAAACACTTTTGTTTAATATTCACAAACTTAGTTAGTTTTATACTTGATAATGGGGTGAAACCCGAAACCGGTCGTAAAAATAAAATAACTAGTGAAAATGAGGCAGAAATGTTTCGTCAAATCCCATGGACAGATATAGCATTCGAAAACACATGCAAACGATTGTTTCATCAAAGTAGATGTTCAGTTCGGGCAACTTACCGCGCGCTCCGCCCATTTCACGCGGGATCTGTGAAAACATTACCGCTGCCTGTGAGAGTGTGCAGGAGAATCAGAGACAGTCGATTTCGCATCGTTCATAGCTCGGCTTTTCGCAGCGACAACAAAACCGTTTTCAGGTAGAAGGATGCTTCGATGAACAACAAGAGGGAACAGCTATGGAAAACCCCTTGTCCCCTTACAAGCTAACCTGTTCATGTTTACATCAAGATATTTCCCTAGGAAATGACTGAGGTATGTGTATGATGTTTTTGCGATATTCGATAACAAAAAATTGAATATTAAGGACTTCGCTGTTTTCAAATAACAGACTTCCATCAATGAAATTCACGTATGAGATATAAACTAGAGGGCAACTTTTAATTTTTGACGTTTTGGTAATGAGAAGTCAATGTGGAAAGCTAGAATACGATATACAGTGCATTTCTTCAATGTCCCCCCTTTCAATTTTTGAACGGAGCAACTCAAAAAATTTAAATTTGTGATAATGAAATCAATGCATGAATACTTCATTTTGGCGACAGGGCGCCATCGGGGAAAAAAATTAAATAGAAAGGGGGGTCTTGTGATACATCTTTTTGAAGCTCCTGGCAAAGGCTTCACAACCCTAGAAAATAATGTCAATATCTTCAACTACTACAAAGTGCCGGAACTTTTAATAATTGCCTGAATACATTGACATTTACCTACATAATATGAGGTAATAAGCTTGAGGTCAGTTCAGAAGATACTCGAAATGGTTGCCTTGAACTTCTTGACACATGAACAGCCTATCCAATAAATCACGTCGAACATTTTTGAACACAATAACGTCAATATCTCTACAAATATTTATCAATTATTCTTTGCCGTATATCCAATATTGAAGCAGGTTCAGTTTCGTATATCTATTGTTTCAAATAGCCCCATAAAAAATTTCCAAGGGTATCAAATCTGGCGAGCGGGCTGACCATTCTATCGGACCTCGACGGCCAATCCAACGACCGGGAAAATTAGTGTTCAAATAGTTTCTCCCTTGTCTGGAGTAATGTGGTGGTGCTCCATCTTGTTGGAGAACAATATACATATCGAATTCATTAGAATTTGATTCGACGATTTCAGTGACGATAAGGTTAACAGTAGTTTCCAGCATATTTAAATACAGTTCCCCTGTTAAATTTTTATCAATAAATACAGGTCATACAATATGGTTTCCCGGAACTAGTCAAATGTCACACCCATGCTCAATCTTTGGAAGGATGTAATCTTGCCAGAACCTTGGGCGACCCTGGGAAGCTGGCGCCGAAGAAATATCTGGCAATGACCAGGAAAGATCTACGACTAACAGTAGGATTTCTGACTGGCCACTGTCAACTAACGAAACACCTCCACAATATGGGGCTGGTGGACACACCTCTATGCAGGATGTGTGAACAGGAAGATGAGACTGTCAGGCATGTCCTGTGCGAGTGCCCGGATAATAAAAGAGTGTGTTTGGCGAGTCGTGGCCTACACCTGCCGATATAAAGGAGGTGTCTCCCAGAGAGCTGTCCACCTTTCTGAAAAGGACAAGATGGACGATGACCTAGCAGGACAACTCCTTGGGAGGATGTACAATGGGTCACATGTGGCCTAAGTGCTGTGGGCTTACACTCACCATCCCTGCTCTACAGATACAGATATGGTTTCCCAATGAAACGGAAAACCAAATGAGAATATTCTAACTGAACAATGATGTTCATTATCGTACCAACATTTTTTGCCGTTTAAAAAAACATAACAAACCTCATCAGGTTGTTAGAATTGCCATATGGCAGATCAAAAGGAATATTTTCAGAAATATCTATATTGATGTGTTTGTCTTCAGGAAACTATTAAATATTCCACCATTTTGTAGTAGGTGAAGATATTGACTTGATATTCTAGGATTGTGAAGTATTCGTCAGGAGCTCCAAAATGATTTATCATAAGACCCCCTTTCCATTTAACTTTTTTTTCCAGATGGCGCCCAGTCGTCATCCTGAAAGTATCATCCGTTAATTTTACTTCAAAATAAAGTAGTCATGCATTGATTTCATTATCCCAAGTTTCAATTTTTTGGGTTGACCCGTTCAAAAAAGAAAAGGGGGAGGGGAATTGAAGAAATGCAGGTTATTTAGAAAGGAAACAAGCACTTACGGGTATATTCCTGACAGTTCACATCACTGTGGACAGCACAAACGTGTTGGGTTGGATTTTATAGTGTATCGCGACAATACAGAAAATAACAATACAGTTCCATACCACCAATACACGAAGAACTTTGGAAAGAATTTCAAGAAACTACGTATGAAGTTAGTGTTTAAAACAAGTCATACACTACAAAGCCTTTTAGGAAATCCAAAGGACAAAGTCGAAATGTCTGGAATTTACGAAATTAAATGTAAGGGCTGCGATGCAGAATATTAAGGACAGGCTGAAAGATCTATCAGAATAATATATGAAAAACACGTTAGTTAGGAAAGCTATAGATCATGATGCAGACGACCCCTCTCGATTTAAAAGGCCCCAAAACTCTGTCGTATGAGGGCCTCTTGTCGCCCGTTAGCGAATAAACAATATCTTCATCCAAACACCCCAGCCAGGCAGGGGTCCACCGTGAAGGGCGGTACTGATGTCTGAGGAATTTAATGCCGACACCTCTATTCAGCTAGTCTGGCGTGGAACTATATACCACCCAGTTGGTTGGCAGCAAGGGTGGTATATATACCTAAAGTTGGCCGGAGAGACCCACACCCCAAATCGGTACGACCAATCAGCCTTGCATCCTTCCTGCTGAAAGAACTTGAGAGGATACTGGACAGACATATCAGGAGGGTAGCATTATATGCATCCCCACTGAATTACCACCAGTATGCTTATCAAACCGCTAAATCGACAGATTCAGCATTGAACAACTTCGTTGAGAAAATCTCCCAATCCCTTGACAACAAGGAGATTGCGGTGTATTTCTTTATATTGAAGGAGCATTTGACAATGCACTATCTAAATCTATAGGATTGTCTCTGGCTAGAAAGGATATAGAATCGACGATAACTGGCTGGATCTATGCCATGCTAGTTAACAGAATTGCAACTACAACTCTTCAAGGCGAGGCTATCAGGTTCAGGGTCACCAGGGGCTGCCCTCAAGGAGGGGTACTATCTCCACTTCTGTGGTCGCTCCTGCTTGATGCCCTCGACAGAAGAAAAGTTGATCTGCAAGCTTATGCAGATGAACTTGTCATTTTGGCAAGGTCCACGTCGGGAAGGGTAGCTTGTAATATACTCCAAAGCACGTTGGACGTTGTTCACAGTTGGTGCCTGAGGGAGCAGATGTCTGTCAACCCCACCAAAACTGTGTTAATCCCCTTCACCAAGAGAAGAAAATTGGACGATCTAACGCTACTTTCCCCCAATGGTGTGGTCATTCCATTTGGAACGGGGTTGAAATATCTTGGCATTGTCCTTGATGAAAGACTCACCTGGAACGCTCACTTGGAAAGATTTGTGTTGAAATTTGGGGTTTAGGTCCCAAACAAATCCAGTGGATTCATGGGAAGATTGTCAGACCAATGATCACGTATGTTGCAATTACTTGGTGGCCGAGGGCTTTACAGAAAACGGTCCAAGCGAAGCTCTCTGGCTTACAGAGACAGGCTTGTCTGGCTATCAGTGGGTCCATCAGTACCACACCGTCGGCGGCCATGGAGATCCTTCTAGATCTACCTCCTCTTCACATTTTTCTGGAAACAGAGGCTAGATGGACTACATACAGACTTGTGCACATTGCCAATTGCACAAATCAATTCAATGCAGAGTGCAACAGTCTGTTGGTTGACATTGGCATTCTGGAAATGACCTCTGACTTCATGCCTTTAACTATCAACTACGAACTGCCTTATAAAGTACTATTCCCGAGTAGAGAGAACTGGATCCTGCGGGAGGAGGAAATATTAAGTCTCTATCCTGACTAAACCGAAGACGATCAAATGGTACAGGTTATGGCCTGTATACATTCGAATACAGTAATTTAAATAAAATTGTACCTATTCATTTATGACTTTGAGTTAACCCACAAAACCATTTTTTATTATACAATTTTGCGTTTTGCAAAATAACCTGACGTTCTGAAATTTTTAGGGCATTTTTTTGCTTTTTAGAACACCTATACAGATAGAAATCAGTTGAAAACATCCAAACAGCTTTTTTGTTGCAGACTTGTGTTGTTATCATTATTATTAACACTTCTACGTGAGATTTTTTGCTGAAAATTATGTTTCACAATAGAATGGCTTCTTCAGGAGTCAGGAGTCTTGTTGTGGAATTGGCCGCGGTGGTAGTGCGCCCGACTCACGATCGGAAGACCGTGGGTTCGATTCCTGCCTTGACCAGATATTTTTCTCGAGATAATTTATCTGTTTTAAGCTGGGATGATTCTGCAACCGTGTTAGGAATCACACATTGAAAGGTAAGACCTC